GAGGAGAGGGAGGAGGAGAGGAGGAGAGGAGGAGAGGGAGGAGGAGAGGAGGAGAGGGAGGAGAAGGAGGAGAGGGAGGAGAGGGAGGAGGAGAGGAGGAGAGGGAGGAGAGGGAGGAGGAGAGGAGGAGAGGGAGGAGAGGGAGGAGGAGAGGAGGGAGGAGAGGAGAGGAGGAGAGGGAGGAGAGGAGGAGGAGAGGAGGAGAGGAGGAGGGAGGAGAGGAGGAGGAGAGGAGGAGAGGGAGGAGAGGAGGAGGAGGAGGAGAGGGAGGAGAGGAGGAGAGGGAGGAGAGGAGGGAGGAGGAGGAGAGGGAGGAGAGGAGGAGAGGGAGGAGAGGAGGAGGAGAGGGGAGGAGAGGGAGGAGAGGGAGGAGGAGAGGAGGAGAGGGAGGAGAGGAGGAGAGGGAGGAGAGGAGGAGGAGAGGGGAGGAGGAGGGAGGAGGGGGGAGGAGAGGAGGAGGGGGAGAGGGGGGAGGAGGAGGAGGAGAGGGCGGAGGAGAGGAGAGGGAGGAGGAGAGGGGGAGGAGGAGGGGAGGAGGGGGAGGAGGAGAGGGGAGGAGGGGGGGGGGGAGGAGGAGGGGGAGGAGGAGAGGGGAGGAGGAGAGGGGAGGAGGGGGAGGGAGGAGGAGGAGGAGGAGGAGGAGGGGAGGAGGAGGAGAGGGGAGGAGGAGGGAGGAGAGGAGGAGAGGGAGGAGAGGGAGGAGGAGAGGAGGAGAGGGAGGAGAGGAGGAGAGGGAGGAGAGGGAGGAGGAGAGGAGGAGAGGAGAGGAGAGGAGAGGAGGAGAGAGGAGGAGAGGGAGGAGGGAGGAGGGAGGGGAGGAGGGAGGAGAGGAGGAGAGGAGGAGAGGAGGAGAGGAGAGGGAGAGGAGGAGGAGAGGGAGGAGAGGAGGAGAGGAGGAGAGGGAGGAGAGGGGAGGAGAGGAGGAGAGGAGGAGAGGAGGAGAGGAGGAGAGGAGGAGAGAGAGGAGGAGAGGGAGAGGAGGAGAGGAGGAGGAGAGGGAGGAGGGGAGGAGAGGAGGAGGAGAGGAGAGGAGAGGAGGAGGAGGAGGAGAGGAGGAGAGGGAGGAGGAGGAGGAGGAGGAGGGGAGGAGGGGGGGAGGAGAGGAGGAGGGGGAGAGGAGGGGGGGGGGAGGAGGGGGGAGGAGGAGGAGAGGAGGGGGGAGGAGAGGAGAGGGGGAGGAGAGGGGGAGGAGGGGGAGGAGGGGGGAGGAGGGGGGGAGGGGGGGGGGGAGGAGGGAGGGGAGGAGGAGAGGGGAGGAGGAGAGGGGAGGAGGGGGGGAGGGGGAGGGAGGGGAGGGGGGAGGAGGGGAGGAGAGGGCGGGAGGAGGGGGAGGAGGAGGGGGGAGGAGGCGGAGGAGAGGGCGGAGGAGAGGAGAGGGGCGGAGGGAGAGGTGGCGGAGAGGGGGAGGTGGGGAGGAGGAGGAGGGGAGTGGAGGAGGAGGGGGGGATGTGAGGTGAGGGGAGGAGGAGAGGGGAGGAGGGGAGGGGAGGGAGGGGGAGGGAGGAGGGAGGAGGAGGAGGTGGGAGAGGAGGAGCGGGGAGGAGAGGGGGAGGAGAGGGAGGAGGGGGGAGGAGGGGGAGGAGACGGGGAGGGTGAAGTGGTAGGGGGAGGAGGAGGAGGGGCTGGGGAGGAGGAGAGGGGAGGAGAGGGGGAGGAGGGGGAGGAGGGGGAGGAGGGCAGGGAGAGGGCAGAGGAGAGAGGAGATGTCAGAGAGAACATATGTGAGGGTAGTAGTTGTAGCATTAGCAGCAGTAGCATTAGCACTAGCATTAGTAGCATTAGCAGTAGCATTAGCAGCAGTAGCAGTAGCATTAGCACTAGCTTTAGTAGCATTAGCAGTAACATTAGCAGCATTAGCAGTCGCATTAGCAGCATTAGCAGTAGCATTAGCAGCATTAGCAGTAGCATTAGCAGTAGCATTAGTAGCATTAGCAGCAGTAGCAGTAGCATTAGCAGCAGTAGCAGTAGCATTAGCAGTAGCATTAGCGGCAGTAGCAGTAGCATTAGCAGTAGCAGTAGCAGTAGCAGTAGCAGTAGCAGCAGTAGCAGTAGCAGTAGCAGTAGCAGTAGCAGCAGCAGTAGCAGTAGCAGTAGCAGCAGTAGCAGTAGCAGCAGCAGTAGCAGTAGCAGTAGCAGTAGCAGCAGTAGCAGTAGCATTAGCACTAGCAGCAGTAGCATTAGCAGTAGCATTAGCAGCAGTAGCAGTAGCATTAGTAGCATTAGCAGCATTAGCAGTAGCATTAGCAGCATTAGCAGTAGCATTAGCAGTAGCATTAGTAGCATTAGCAGCAGTAGCAGTAGCATTAGCATTAGCAGTCGCATTAGCAGCATTAGCAGTAGCATTAGCAGTAGCATTAGTAGCATTAGCAGCAGTAGCAGTAGCATTAGCAGTAGCAGTAGCATTAGCAGCAGTAGCAGTAGCAGTAGCATTAGTAGCATTAGCAGTAGCATTAGTAGCATTAGCATTAGCATTAGCAGTAGCATTAGCAGTACCTCTAGCTGCTTGCTAGCCTCCTCGTTCCTCTGCATCAGAGACAGTTTGGTCCTCAGGCTCCTGAAGTGCATGTCACTCATCATCTGAGCTCTCCTCGTGGTCACCTCGTTCACCGACTGGTAACACAAAGACACACAACAGTTACACAACAGACACACAACCAACACACAACAGTTACACAAGAGACACACAACTAACACACAACAGTCATACAACAGTTACACAACAGACGGTATATAAATAAAGATTACCTGTATACAGTGGGGTAAAAAAGTATTTAGTCAGCCTCCGATTGTGAAAGTTCTCTCACTTAAAATAATGACAGGTCTGTAATGTTCATCATAGGTTCACTTCAACTGTGAGAGACAGAATGTGGAAACAAACTCCAGGAATTCACATTGTAGGATTTTTAAAGAATTTATTTGTAAATAAGTATTTGGTCACTTCTCTGGCTCTCACAGACCTGTAACTTCTTCTTTAAGAAGCTCTTCTGTCCTCCACTCGTTACCTGTATTAATGGCACCTGTTTGAACTCATCTGTATAAAAGACACCTGTCCACAGCCTCAAACAGTCAGACTCCAAACTCCACTATGGCCAAGACCAAAGAGCTGTAGACCTGCACCAGACTGGGAAGAGTGAATCTACAATAGGCAAGCAGCTTGGTGTGAACAAATCAACTGTGGGAGCAATTATCAGAAAATGGAAGACATACAAGACCACTGATAATCTCCCTCGATCTGGGGCTCCACGCAAGATCTCATCCTGTGGGGTCAAAATGATCATGAGAACGGTGATCAAAAATCCCAGAACCACACGGGGGGACCTGGTGAATGACCTGCAGAGAGCTGGGACCAAAGTAACAAAGGTTACCATCAGTAACACACTACGACGACAGACGTGTCCTCCTGCTGAAGCCAGTGCATGTCCTCCTGCTGAAGCCAGTGCATGTCCTCCTGCTGAAGCCAGTGCATGTCCCCCTGCTGAAGCCAGTGCATGTCCTCCTGCTGAAGCCAGTGCATGTCCTCCTGCTGAAGCCAGTGCATGTCCCCTGCTGAAGCCAGTGCATGTCCTCCTGCTGAAGCCAGTGCTGAAGCCATGTGTCCCCCTGCTGAAGCCAGTGCATGTCCCCCTGCTGAAGCCAGTGCATGTCCTCCTGCTGAAGCCAGTGCATGTCCTCCTGCTGAAGCCAGTGCATGTCCTCCTGCTGAAGCCAGTGCATGTCCTCCTGCTGAAGCCAGTGCATGTCCTCCTGCTGAAGCCAGTGCATGTCCTCCTGCTGAAGCCAGTGCATGTCCTCCTGCTGAAGCCAGTGCATGTCCTCCTGCTGAAGCCAGTGCATGTCCCCTGCTGAAGCCAGTGCATGTCCCCCTGCTGAAGCCAGTGCATGTCCTCCTGCTGAAGCCAGTGCATGTCCTCCTGCTGAAGCCAGTGCATGTCCTCCTGCTGAAGCCAGTGCTGAAAGCCAGTGCATGTCCCCTGCTGAAGCCAGTGCATGTCCCCTGCTGAAGCCATGTCCCCTGCAGCTGCATGTCCCCCTGCTGAAGCCAGTGCATGTCCCCCTGCTGAAGCCAGTGCATGTCCTCCTGCTGAAGCCAGTGCATGTCCTCCTGCTGAAGCCAGTGCATGTCCTCCTGCTGAAGCCAGTGCATGTCCTCCTGCTGAAGCCAGTGCATGTCCCCCTGCTGAAGCCAGTGCATGTCCTCCCAGTGCATGTGCTGAAGCCAGTGCATGTCCTGCCTGCTGAAGCCAGTGATCAGTGGCCCCGCTGAAGCCAGTGCATGTCCTCCTGCTGAAGCCAGTGCATGTCCTCCTGCTGAAGCCAGTGCATGTCCTCCTGCTGAAGCCAGTGCATGTCCTCCTGCTGAAGCCAGTGCATGTCCTCCTGCTGAAGCCAGTGCATGTCCCCTGCTGAAGCCAGTGCATGTCCTCCTGCTGAAGCCAGTGCATGTCCCCTGCTGAAGCCAGTGCATGTCCTCCTGCTGAAGCCAGTGCATGTCCTCCTGCTGAAGCCAGTGCATGTCCTCCTGCTGAAGCCAGTGCATGTCCTCCTGCTGAAGCCAGTGCATGTCCTCCTGCTGAAGCCAGTGCATGTCCTCCTGCTGAAGCCAGTGCATGTCCTCCTGCTGAAGCCAGTGCATGTCCTCCTGCTGAAGCCAGTGCATGTCCTCCTGCTGAAGCCAGTGCATGTCCTCCTGCTGAAGCCAGTGCATGTCTCCTGAAGAAGCCAGTGCATGTCCTCCTGCTGAAGCCAGTGCATGTCCTCCTGCTGAAGCCAGTGCATGTCCTCCTGCTGAAGCCAGTGCATGTCCTCCTGCTGAAGCCAGTGCATGCATGTGAAGCCTCCTGCTGAAGCCAGTGCATGTCCCCTGCTGAAGCCAGTGCATGTCCTCCTGCTGAAGCCAGTGCATGTCCCCCTGCTGAAGCCAGTGCATGTCCCCCTGCTGAAGCCAGTGCATGTCCTCCTGCTGAAGCCAGTGCATGTCCTCCTGCTGAAGCCAGTGCATGTCCCCCTGCTGAAGCCAGTGCATGTCCTCCTGCTGAAGCCAGTGCATGTCCTCCTGCTGAAGCCAGTGCATGTCCCCCTGCTGAAGCCAGTGCATGTCCCCTGCTGAAGCCAGTGCATGTCCTCCTGCTGAAGCCAGTGCATGTCCTCCTGCTGAAGCCAGTGCATGTCCTCCTGCTGAAGCCAGTGCATGTCCCCTGCTGAAGCCAGTGCATGTCCAGGCCCGTCTGAAGTTTTCCAGAGAGCACATGGATGATCCAGGCCCGTCTGAAGTTTTCCAGAGAGCACATGGATGATCCAGGCCCGTCTGAAGTTTTCCAGAGAGCACATGGATGATCCAGGCCCGTCTGAAGTTTGCCAGAGAGCACATGGATGATCCAGGCCCGTCTGAAGTTTGCCAGAGAGCACATGGATGATCCAGGCCCGTCTGAAGTTTGCCAGAGAGCACATGGATGATCCAGGCCCGTCTGAAGTTTGCCAGAGAGCACATGGATGATACAGCAGAGGATTGGGAGAATGTCATGTGGTCAGATGAAACCAAAGTACAACTGTTTGGTATAAACTCAACTCGTCTTGTTTGGAGGAAGAAGAATACTGAGCTACATCCCAAGAACACCATACCTACTGTGAAGCATGGGGGTGGAAACGTCATGCTTTGGGGCTGTTTTTCTGCTAAGGGGACAGGACAACTGATCCGTGTTAAGGAAAGAATGTATAGGGCCATGTATCGTGAGATTTTGAGCCAAAACCTCCTTCCATCAGTGAGAGCTTTGAAGATGAAACGTGGCTGGGTCTTCCAGCATGACAATGATCCCAAACACACCGCCCGGGCAACGAAGGAGTGGCTCCGTAAGAAGCATTTGAAAGTCCTGGAGTGGCTCCGTAAGAAGCATTTGAAAGTCCTGGAGTGGCTCCGTAAGAAGCATTTGAAAGTCCTGGAGTGGCTCCGTAAGAAGAATTTGAAAGTCCTGGAGTGGCCTAGCCAGTCTCCAGACCTCAACCCCATTGAACATCTGTGTTCACTGCTCTCGAGAAGATCTGCATGGAAGAATGGGCCAAAATACCAGCTGTGTGTGCAAACCTGGTAAAGACCTATAGTAATCGTTGACCTCTGTTATTGCCAACAAAGGTTATATTAAAAAGTATTGAGTTGAATTTTTGTTATTGACCAAATACTTATTTTCCACCATAATTTACAAATAAATTCTTTAAAAATCCTACAATGTGAATTCCTGGATTTTTTTTTTCACATTCTGTCTCTCACAGTTGACTTGAACCTATGATGAACATTACAGACCTCTGTCATTATTATAAGTGGGAGAACTTGTACAATCAGAGACTGACTAAATACTTTTTTGCCCCACTGTACCTACCTACTGTCTTACCTACATCACTTACAACAGTCACAACAGACACAACAGACACACAACAGTCACACAACAGTCACAACAGACACACAACAGTCACAACAGACACACAACAGTCACACAAGAGTATTCCAAACACGTTTGGACCTCAGACCTGGAGGTCCCTCAGACCCTCAGACCTGGAGGTCCCTCAGACCTGGAGGTCCCTCAGACCCTCAGACCTGGGGGTCCCTCAGATCTGGAGATCCCTCAGACCTGGAGGTCCCTCAGACCCTCAGACCTGGAGGTCCCTCAGACCTGGAGGTCCCTCAGACCCTCAGACCTGGGGGTCCCTCAGACCTGGAGATCCCTCAGACCTGGAGGTCCCTCAGACCCTCAGACCTGGAGGTCCCTCAGACCTGGAGGTCCCTCAGACCCTCAGACCTGGGGGTCCCTCAGACCTGGAGGTCCCTCAGACCCTCAGACCTGGGGGTCCCTCAGACCTGGAGATCCCTCAGATCTGGAGGTCCCTCAGACCCTCAGACCTGGAGGTCCCTCAGACCTGGAGGTCCCTCAGACCTGGTGGTCCCTCAGACCTGGAGGTCCCTCAGACCTCAGACCTGGGGGTCCCTCAGATCTGGGGGTCCCTCAGACCAGGGGGTCCCTCAGACCAGGAGGTCCCTCAGACCCTCAGACCTGGGGGTCCCTCAGACCTCAGATCTGGGGGTCCCTCAGACCAGGAGGTCCCTCAGACCCTCAGACCTGGAGGTCCCTCAGACCTCAGACCTGGGGGTACCTCAGACCTGGAGGTCCCTCAGACCTCAGACCTGGGGGTACCTCAGACCTGGAGGTCCCTCAGACCTGGTGGTCCCTCAGACCTGGAGGTCCCTCAGACCTCAGACCTGGGGGTCCCTCAGACCAGGAGGTCCCTCAGACCCTCAGATCTGGAGGTCCCTCAGACCTCAGACCTGGGGGTCCCTCAGACCTCAGACCTGGGGGTCCCTCAGACCAGGAGGTCCCTCAGACCCTCAGACCTGGAGGTCCCTCAGACCTCAGACCTGGGGGTCCCTCAGACCTGGAGGTCCCTCAGACCTCAGACTCACCAGGATGACCAGCTGCTTCTTCTCAGAGTCGTAGGTCACACTAAACGCAGTCACAGCCTTTTTAAAGTCTTTGTGAGAGGACTCTTTAGAACACCTGCACACAGGGAGGGGCAGCATCAGGCTGTGGACAGGTGCTAACGCTAACACAGGCTGTGAACAGTAGGAAGGTGCTAACGCTAACACAGGCTGTATACAGGTGCTAACGTAGGCCTGTCGCGATATTAAATAAATCAATTAATTGCATGATAATTAAAATTTGCTTGATAGTTTTCGTGGCCGCGATGAATTCCATTTGCAGCTTGTTTGTTTTCCTGTCTCTCTCTCTCGGGTCATAGAGCCGCAAAGTGGTCACCAAACCAGGACTTAACCAGGACTAAACCAGGACTTAACCAGGACTAAACCAGGACTTAACCAGGACTTAACCAGGACTTAACCAGGACTTAACCAGGACTTAACCAGGACTAAACCAGGACTAAACCAGGACTTAACCAGGACTTAACCAGGACTTAACCAGGACTTAACCAGGACCTAACCAGGACTTAACCAGGACTAAACCAGGACTTAACCAGGACTTAACCAGGACTTAACCAGGACTAAACCAGGACTAAACCAGGACTAAACCAGGACTTAACCAGGACCTAACCAGGACTTAACCAGGACCTAACCAGGACTTAACCAGGACCTAACCAGGACTTAACCAGGACCTAACCAGGACTTAACCAGGACTTAACCAGGACTTAACCAGGACTAAAGCAGGACTAAACCAGGACTAAACCAGGACTTAACCAAGACTTAACCAAGACTTAACCAAGACTTAACCAGGACTAAACCAGGACTAAACCAGGACTAAACCAGGACTTAACCAGGACTTATCCAGGACTTATCCAGGACTTATCCAGGACTTATCCAGGACTTATCCAGGACTTATCCAGGACTTATCCAGGACTTATCCAGGACTTAACCAGGACTAAACCAGGACTTAACCAGGACTTAACCAGGACTTAACCAGGACTTAACCAGGACTTAACCAGGACTTAACCAGGACTAAACCAGGACTAAACCAGGACTTAACCAGGACTTATCCAGGATTTAACCAGGACTAAACCAGGACTTAACCAGGACTTAACCAGGACTTAACCAGGATTTAACCAGGACTTAACCAGGACTAAACCAGGACTTAACCAGGACTTAACCAGGATTTAACCAGGACTAAACCAGGACTAAACCAGGACTTAACCAGGACTTAACCAGGATTTAACCAGGACTAAACTAGGACTTAACCAGGATTGACAACAGGGGACACAGTAGTTGTTCTCATTCACTAAACTAGCGCAGTTAGCTAGCTAGCGTGTTTGCCGATGCAGAAGCACGAGAACACGTTTATATAACACTCTGTTCCATGAAGTCTCTGGAAGGTCTCAGACAAAGAGACGCTGCAGAAGCTGCATCACATGTACTGGCAACAACTTTACACAAAAAGCCTCAAGCTAGCGGCGTTTTACTTCTGCCACTGCCGGCGGTGGTCTTTCAAAGTAAAAGTGTATTTGTTTGAAAGGTGGTCTTTCAAAGTAAAAGTGTATTTGTTTGAAAGGTGGTCTTTCAAAGTAAAAGTGTATTTGTTTGAAAGGTGGTCTTTCAAAGTAAAAGTGTATTTGTTTGAAAGGTGGTCTTTCAAAGTAAAAGTGTATTTGTTTGAAAGGTGGTCTTTCAAAGTAAAAGTGTATTTGTTTGAAAGGTGGTCTTTAAAAGTGTATTTGTTTGAAAGGTGGTCTTTCAAAGTAAAAGTGTATTTGTTTGAAAGGTGGTCTTTCAAAGTAAAAGTGTATTTGTTTGAAAGGTGGTCTTTAAAAGTGTATTTGTTTGAAAGGTGGTCTTTAAAAGTGTATTTGTTTGAAAGGTGGTCTTTCAAAGTAAAAGTGTATTTGTTTGAAAAGGTGAAGCTGCATCATTATCAGTGTATTAGATGAAAATGATCTCAGAACGACACTATCACAATACATTCTGAGACTATTAGAAATGTGTGATTGTGACAGGCCTATGCTAACGCTAACACAGACTGTATACAGGTGCTAACGCTAACACAGACTGTACACAGTATACAGGTGCTAACGCTAACACAGACTGTACACAGGTGCTAACGCTAACACAGACTGTATACAGGTGCTAACGCTAACACAGACAGTATTCAGGTTGCTAGTGCTAACACAGGTTGCTAGTGCTAACACAGGTTGCTAGTGCTAACACAGGTTGCTAGTGCTAACACAGGTTGCTAGTGCTAACACAGGTTGCTAGTGCTAACACAGGTTGCTAGTGCTAACACAGGTTGCTAGTGCTAACACAGGTTGCTAGTGCTAACACAGGTTGCTAGTGCTAACACAGGTTGCTAGTGCTAGCAGAGACATACAGCTGCCGCAGGTCTTCTGGGACGTCCAGTCTGATCTTGATGAACGTAGCTTTAGCATTAGCTTTGTTCGGATTTACGGCTCGGAGTCGCTCCAGCGTCACAATCTCATTCAGCGTTGCATCACAGGCAGCATACTCAATGACATAGAACTGTGGAGGAGGAGGAGGAGAGAAGAGGAGGAGAGGAGGAGGAGAGAGGAGGAGAGAGGAGGAGGAGAGAGAGGAGGAGCCAGAGAGAAGAGGAGGAGGAGAGAGGAGGAGGAGAGAGGAGGAGGAGAGAGAGGAGGAGCCAGAGAGAAGAGGAGGAGAGGAGGAGGAGAGAGGAGAGGAGGAGAGAGGAGGAGAGAGAGGAGGAAGAGGAGGAGGAGAGAGAGAGGAGGAGGAGAGAGGAGGAGGAGGAGGAGAGAGGAGGAGGAGAGAGAGGAGGAGCCAGGGGAGGGGAGGAGGAGCCAGAGAGAAGAGGAGGAGGAGAGAGGAGGAGAGAGGAGGAGGAGGAGAGAGAGGAGAGAGAGGAGGAGGAGAGAGAGGAGAGAGGAGGAGAGAGAGGAGAGAGAAGAGGAGGAGAGGAGGAGGAGAGAAGAGGAGGAGGAGAGAGAGGAGGAGAGAGGAGGAGAGAGAGAGAGGAGGAGGAGCGAGAGAGAGGAGGAGAGAGGAGGAGGAGAGAGAGGAGGAGCCAGAGAGAAGAGGAGGAGGAGAGAGGAGGAGGAGGAGAGGAGGAGGAGAGAGAGGAGGAGCCAGAGAGAAGAGGAGGAGAGGAGGAGGAGAGAGGAGAGGAGGAGAGAGGAGGAGAGAGAGGAGGAAGAGGAGGAGGAGAGAGAGAGGAGGAGGAGAGAGAGAGGAGGAGGAGAGAGAGAGGAGGAGCCAGGGGAGGGGAGGAGGAGCCAGAGAGAAGAGGAGGAGGAGAGAGGAGGAGAGAGGAGGAGGAGGAGAGAGAGGAGAGAGAGGAGGAGGAGAGAGAGGAGAGAGGAGGAGAGAGAGAGAGAGAGAAGAGGAGGAGAGGAGGAGGAGAGAAGAGGAGGAGGAGAGAGAGGAGGAGAGAGAGAGAGGAGGAGGCGCGAGAGAGAGGAGGAGAGAGGAGGAGGAGAGAGAGGAGGAGCCAGAGAGAAGAGGAGGAGGAGAGAGGAGGAGGAGAGAGGAGGAGGAGAGAGAGGAGGAGCCAGAGAGAAGAGGAGGAGAGGAGGAGGAGAGATGAGAGGAGGAGAGAGGAGGAGAGAGAGGAGGAAGAGGAGGAGGAGAGAGAGAGGAGGAGGAGAGAGGAGGAGGAGCCAGAGAGAAGAGGAGGAGAGGAGGAGGAGAGAGGAGGAGGAGGAGGAGAGAGAGAGAGGAGGAGAGAGAGAGGAGGAGGAGGAGGAGAGAGGAGAGAGAGGAGAGAGAGGAGGAGGAGGAGGAGAGAGAGGAGAGAGAGGAGGAGGAGAGAGGAGGAGGAGGAGGAGGAGGAGAGAGGAGAGAGGAGGAGATAGAGGAGGAGGAGAGAGGAGAGAGAGAGGAGGAGAGAGGAGGAGGAGAGAGGAGGAGCCAGAGAGGAGGAGGAGAGAGAGAGAAGAGGAGGAGGAGAGAGGAGGAGGAGGAGAGAGAGGAGGAGAGAGAGAGAGAGGAGGAGAGAGGAGGAGGAGGAGAGAGAGAGAGAGGAGGAGAGAGGAGGAGAGAGAGAGAGGAGGAGGAGCGAGAGAGGAGGAGAGAGGAGGAGGAGAGAGGAGGAGAGAGGAGGAGGAGGAGCCAGAGAGAGGAGGAGGAGAGAGAGAGGAGAGAGGAGGAGAGAGGAGGAGAGAGAGGAGGAGGAGGAGCCAGAGAGAGGAGGAGGAGAGAGGAGGAGAGAGAGAGAGAGGAGAGAGAGGAGGAGAGAGAGGAGGAGGAGGAGAGAAGAGGAGGAGAGAGGAGGAGCCAGAGAGAAGAGGAGAGAGGAGGAGAGAGAGGAGGAGGAGGAGAGAGAGAGAGAGAGAGAGGAGGAGGAGCCAGAGAGAAGAGGAGAGAGAGGAGAGAGAGAGGAGGAGGAGAGAGAGAGGAGCCAGAGAGAAGAGGAGGAGAGAGAGGAGAGAGAGAGGAGGAGGAGAGAGAGAGGAGAGAGAGAGGAAGAGAGAGAGGAGGAGCCAGAGAGAAGAGGAGGAGGAGAGGAGGAGAGAGAGGAGGAGGAGCCAGAGAGAAGAGGAGGAGGAGAGGAGGAGAGAGAGGAGGAGGAGGAGAGAGAGAGGAGAGAGAGAGGAAGAGAGAGAGGAGAGAGAGAGGAAGAGAGAGAGGAGGAGCCAGAGAGAAGAGGAGGAGAGAGGAGGAGGAGGAGAGAGGAGGAGGAGGAGGAGCCAGAAAGAAGAGGAGAGAGAGGGGAGGAGGAGGAGCCAGAGAGAAGAGGAGGAGAGAGAGAGGAGGAGGAGAGAGGAGGAGGAGCCAGAGAGAAGAGGAGGAGAGAGAGAGGAGGAGGAGAGAGAGAGGAGAGAGAGAGGAGGAGGAGCCAGAGAGAAGAGGAGGAGAGAGAGGAGGAGAGAGAGAGGAGGAGGAGCCAGAGAGAAGAGGAGGAGAGAGAGGAGGAGAGAGAGAGAGGAGGAGCCAGAGAGAAGAGGAGGAGAGAGAGAGGAGGAGGAGCCAGAGAGAAGAGGAGAGAGGAGGAGGAGAGAGAGGAGGAGGAGCCAGAGAGAAGAGGAGAGAGGAGGAGGAGAGAGAGGAGGAGGAGCCAGAGAGAAGAAGAGAGAGGAGGGGAGAGAGAGAGGAGGAGGAGCCAGAGAGAAGAGGAGGAGAGAGAGAGAAGAGGGGAAGAGAGAGGCGAGGAGAGAGAGGAGGAGAGAGAGAGAGAGGAGGAGGAGCGAGAGGAAGAGAGAGAGAGGAGGAGGAGAGAGAGAGGAGAGAGAGGAGAGAGAGAGAGGAGAGAGAGGAGGAGAGAGAGGAGAGAGAGGAGAGAGAGGAGGAGGAGAGAGAGGAGAGAGAGGGAGGAGGAGAGAGAGGAGGAGATAGAGGAGGAGGAGCCAGAGAGAAGAGGAGGACAGAGAGGAAGAGAGAGAGAGGAGGAGAGAGAGAGAGAGAGAGAGGAGGAGGCGCGAGAGGAGAGAGAGGAGGAGGAGAGAGAGGAAGAGAGAGAGAGGAGAGAGAGGAGGAGGAGAGAGAGGAAGACAGAGAGGAGGAGGAGAGAGGAGAGAGAGGAGGAGCGAGAGAGGAGGAGGAGAGAGAGGAAGAGAGAGAGAGGAGAGAGAGAGAGGAAGAGAGAGAGAGGAGAGAGAGAGGAAGAGGAGGAGGGAGATATGTTAGGTATAATATTGACTTCCTCTTGCTATAGTATAGAAGGGGACGTACCTCTCCTTTAACCATGTGGACCTTAGCGGGTGTAGTAGGGGGTATAGAAGGGGACGTACCTCTCCTTTAACCATGCGGACCTTAGGGGTTGTAGTAGGGGGTATAGAAGGGGACGTACCTCTCTTTAACCATGTGGACCTTAGCGGGTTGTAGTAGGGGGTATAGAAGGGGACGTACCTCTCCTTTAACCATGCGGACCTTAGCGGGTGTAGTAGGGGGTATAGAAGGGGACGTACCTCTCCTTTAACCATGTGGACCTTAGCGGGTGTAGTAGGGGGTATAGAAGGGGACGTACCTCTCCTTTAACCATGTGGACCTTAGCGGGTGTAGTAGGGGGTATAGAAGGGGACGTACTCTCCTTTAACCATGTGGACCTTAGCGGGTGTAGTAGGGGGTATAGAAGGGGACGTACCTCTCCTTTAACCATGTGGACCTTAGCGGGTGTAGTAGGGGGTATAGAAGGGGATGTACCTCTCCTTTAACCATGCGGACCTTAGCGGGTGTAGTAGGGGGTATAGAAGGGGACGTACCTCTCCTTTAACCATGTGGACCTTAGCGGGTGTAGTAGGGGGTATAAAAGGGGACGTACCTCTCCTTTAACCATGTGGACCTTAGCGGGTGTAGTAGGGGGTATAGAAGGGGACGTACCTCTCCTTTAACCATGCGGACCTTAGCGGGTGTAGTAGGGGGTATAGAAGGGGACGTACCTCTCCTTTAACCATGCGAGACCTTAGCGGGTGTAGTAGGGGGTATAGAAGGGACGTACCTCTCCTTTAACCATGTGGACCTTAGCGGGTGTAGTAGGGGGTATAGAAGGGACGTACCTCTCCTTTAACCATGTGGACCTTAGCGGGTGTAGTAGGGGGTATAGAAGGGGACGTACCTCTCCTTTAACCATGCGGACCTTAGCGGGTGTAGTAGGGGGTATAGAAGGGGACGTACCTCTCCTTTAACCATGTGGACCTTAGCGGGTGTAGTAGGGGGTATAGAAGGGGACGTACCTCTCCTTTAACCATGTGGACCTTAGCGGGTGTAGTAGGGGGTATAGAAGGGGACGTACCTCTCCTTTAACCATGTGGACCTTAGCGGGTGTAGTAGGGGTATAGAAGGGGACGTACCTCTCCTTTAACCATGTGGACCTTAGCGGGTGTAGTAGGGGGTATAGAAGGGGACGTACCTCTCCTTTAACCATGCGGACCTTAGCGGGTGTAGTAGGGGGTATAGAAGGGGACGTACCTCTCCTTTAACCATGTGGACCTTAGCGGGTGTAGTAGGGGGTATAGAAGGGGACGTACCTCTCCTTTAACCATGTGGACCTTAGCGGGTGTAGTAGGGGTATAGAAGGGGACGTACCTCTCCTTTAACCATGCGGACCTTAGCGGGTTGTAGTAGGGGGTAGAAGGGGACGTACCTCTCCTTTAACCATGTGGACCTTAGCGGGTGTAGTAGGGGGTATAGAAGGGGACGTACCTCTCCTTTAACCATGCGGACCTTAGCGGGTGTAGTAGGGGGTATAGAAGGGGACGTACCTCTCCTTTAACCATGTGGACCTTAGCGGGTGTAGTAGGGGGTATAGAAGGGGACGTACCTCTCCTTTAACCATGTGGACCTTAGCGGGTGTAGTAGGGGGTATAGAAGGGGACGTACCTCTCCTTTAACCATGTGGACCTTAGCGGGTGTAGTAGGGGGTATAGAAGGGGACGTACCTCTCCTTTAACCATGTGGACCTTAGCGGGTGTAGTAGGGGGTATAGAAGGGGACGTACCTCTCCTTTAACCATGCGGACCTTAGCGGGTGTAGTAGGGGTATAGAAGGGGACGTACCTCTCCTTTAACCATGTGGACCTTAGCGGGTGTAGTAGGGGGTATAGAAGG